GTGGTGGTATTCGCATGTATCTCCAGTCTTGGGTAGGAAGCAAGAGAGTGCTTCGCCCTTCACGTTTTAGGCAGTCTCATCGCCGTCGCCTTCGTCCCTTGCGACTTCCTCGTATTTCTCGCTGCACCTGCCTGCAACGCCGGGACCAGGCAGATGGCAAAACCAGCCCGGCCAGCCGCCATCCCTGCTCGCCGAAGGGCGCTTGTTGGGGTGGGCTGCAGGTCGCGGTCACGTGCGCGGCGCCTCGACCCCCTTGGCCTCTGGCCGCGGCCAGGGAAGGACGGCCCGATCTCCAGATCGATCCGACGTAGATCAGCCTGGGCCAAGCCCTCCAAGGGAACCCACCGCCGCAAACGCCGTCGGGCGACCGCAGCATTGACGTCCCGCACCGCATCGCGACAAACAACCCACGGCGCCGGCCTCGACGCCACGCCAACGCTGCTGAGCCCCGGGCAGCAGGATGTTACCAAATTCAACGGCGGCAGCGGAAAAATACATCGGAAGCGGGGTGGCCCCAATTATTGGCCTCGATTGGCCACAGTCGGGGCAGCAAAACCCCTCATACCGTGCCTACCACCTGCCTACGTACATAACCTACCTAGGCTACAAGAAGAGAAAAATACTTGGGGCAGGCAAAAGAGAAAAAAAAAAAAAAAAAAAAAAAAGTCCGGAGAAATAGACGAGCCGCCCGCCACGACCGTGGGGCTCACATCCCGATGTCTGGCCCCTCAAAGAGCCTAATATGCAGCCTCGACTTCAGCCAGAAGGACGCAGGAGAAGGGGTAGAATGCGGATCGTCAGGAGATAGTGTGGGTAGAGCCCGCGACAAGAATATCTCCCAAACAATCCCGGCCGCATCTCCTGGTCTCGACCGTGAGCCCTCTCGGGAAGGATAAACATACTCCAGGGCACGGGCATAGGAATAGGCATGGGCATGGGCAAGTTCCGCACACGGTCGCTGAAAACGGCCGCCGCCTGCACTTAATTTGTATGGCAGGCCACCAGAGAGCCCCAGCCGCACAGTGAAGCGCGCATCTGCGAGGATCCCGTGTCACCGTACTGGAGGCGGGTGCTTGGACAAGATCCCGCCGCTCATCTGTCCTGTAGACACTGCCCGGGGCCGGCTGTGTAGGTATAGGTAGCCTATGTAGCCACGTCAGACCTTGGAGAGCACGGGGGCGATACCTGCTCGGGTAGCTATGTTGGGTGCCCGGGCATGTACCTTGGCTAGCATCGGGCAGACATCCACCATCTTGAGCTATATTGCCAGCGCGTGGCTAACGGGCTCGCCAGCCAGACAAAGGCCACAAAGGCCACAGAATTTTCTCGGGCCGTCTTTTCACTGCCACATGCGAGAGCGCATGGCATGGTGGCATGGAGAGGGCCCATGTATTTGCATGTGTACCTGGCCGCTCGCGTATAGGTATTTGCATTTTCATGCCTGCTTGGCTGCCTTGGTTCGCGCGGGGCGTCTGTCCAAGGCGACAAGGATGAGGCCTCGAGGCAGGCGCAAGATTTCAAATTGGTTTCCCACCGCGGATGCATCATGATGATGATAGGGGGCAGCAGGGAAAGAAGGAAATGCCAGCCAGCCCATCTGTTACGGTCTACCTGCCTGCCTGCGCCTGCAGCGAGCCTGTGGGGTCCAACCCTCCCCTCCAAGTGCGGGACAAGGGCCAGCCTAGCCAGTCTAGCCAGTCAAGAAAGGCCCGTCGCGGCCGGGAGGGAGGGTATAAAAACTACCTATTGGATGTGGGTAGGGGAACGGAAGAAAGAGTGATTTGCAAAAAAAAAAACTCCCGTAACGCTTCCTCCTAGACGACCGGACATGGGGTGGCCGTGACGTGACTGGTCCGCGCCCGCTCGCCAAACCGTGGTCTGGGGAAAGCTTGAATATGACTGGCACACTGGGTACTGTACGACCACATGCTTTGCGTGCTGTCCGCCACCCCCTTCCCACACAGCCAACACAATTGTGGCCGATGAGGGAAGGATGGAAGGGATGGAGGGGATGGAGGGGATGGATGGATGGGAAGGGTGGGCATGGATGGATGGATGGTAAACCAGGAACTGGCGAGTGATAGAGGTGTGGTAGTGGCAGCCAGGAGTTTGGTCCCTCGTGGCCAACTACATGCAACTGCTCTGGATACGGAGGGTAAGAGGAGGCCGAGAAGACGTGAATAGCCGGTTGGCTGCCGCGAAGTGGCTTGGATGGGAAGATTCTTGCGTGAAGTCGGCGGCCGAGGGTCGAATAGAAGTCAATGAAATGGCAGCCGATAGATCAGCAATAATGGGTGATGAGAAAGAGTTGGCCCATTCAGCTTGCATATCGGTGCTTTGTGAGTCGTCTGGATGGAAAGAAAATAGAGGAAAGATACAGCAGACCCCCATGTACTCAAAGACCATTCATGTTGGAGCGGCAGACGAGGGGGGATGGATGGGCCTATGCGCTGCTTGCCGCGCTTCCATGCCGCCCAGCTAGTCTCTCCTGTACCACCCACCACGGGGCTTTCCAGTCATATCTGCTCAGCTAGCCCTGTCTCCCTCCCTCATTCTCTCTCTATCCCTTGGTCAGGAGATGGCGGTAGGCAAGAAAAAAAGACAGATAGACAGTACACACTGCACTGCCCCGGCAGAGATACCACACGAGCTTGATAACCCTACATCGGCTAATCTGCCCCATCTGGCTCGTCCTCGGAGAGGAGATCGATATCTACATGCATGAAAAAAATGCGGGCAAAGCCTACCACTCGGTGGGCAGCTTCGCGGCCAAGGGCTGCTGCTGCCGTGCCGCCCGGCCAGTGCGTGCGCCGGCAAAGAGCAGTAGCGTAGTAGGCCCGGGCTGGGCTGGGCTGGGGTTGAGTTTTTTTTTTTTACTCCCACTTGTGGTCATCATCGATCATGATCCCGGGCAATGCCGCAAGATTACTGTCGATGCAGTGGCTGGCAGGGTTGCACTGGAGGGGGGTCTACACCCCCTAAGGCTAACCAGCCCCTTTTGCACCCTTGAGCTCCGACGGCCGTCTCCCAAGAGAGGCAAGAGAGAAAGAAGGAAAAAAAGTCTCACAGTAAGTCATGGCTGCAAGCTAGCCAGCCAGCCAGGCCCCCCTTCTGGGACTGGCTGGGGTACTGCCTCTGGGGAAGAAGGTGGTGTAGGACACTGTGGCCGAGACGTCCTCGCGCACATGGCTAGTCCCATGCCATCCACCAGGCCGAGGCCTCATCAAACCATCTCACCACGAGGCCAAGTTTTTTTTTTCTCGGCTTGACTCAGCTCGAGTTGGAGCTGGCACGCTGGGTACGTAGAGGGAAGGTTCATCGAGATGGAGAGTTCATGTTCACGTCAAGAGTTCGGATAAGTCGCAATTTCGCGGACGACATCCCAGCCGGTTCGTGTGTGAAAAAAAAAAAAAGGGCAGGGCTAGGTAAGGGGGTAGGGAGTGCTTGCACCGCCAGCGTCGTCGCGCGGAACGGGACGGCTGTCTTCCCTCTGTCACTCCTGTCTTTTCGTCGGCAGGGCAAGCCAGTCGACCGACAGGCAGTGCCTCGTGGCAGCTAGCCGCCCGTTGTGAGGCGCACTCGCTTCTCCGTGCACACGTACACACGACCACGCGACCACGCCGTTGAATCTGGCAGTGGCCGTGCGCCGTGGGCACTCTCCTTGGCATCGTCTCCTCTCTCCTGTCATCCCGTCAGTTTTATTATTATTTTACTTTCTTTCCCTCTCTTGCCCTCGCGGCAACGACCCTGCCCCCCGGGCCAGGCTGGGTTGGTGCCCACCAAGCATGGACCAGGGCGCGGAGTGAGATACCGGGCGGCACAAGCCGCGGGAAAAAAAATGCCTAGCCCAGCCTCCAGGGCCCGGCGCCAGCGCCGTCGGGGTGGTTCTTGGTGGCTCTTGGTGGTGCGCGCGAGCGCGCGCGCTAAGATTGCCGCCCCCCAAGGACTGCCTCTAGCGCGGAACTCCAAGATGATGTGGATGTGGGTTGTGGGCTGCATATTTCCCAACTTCATGCGCCCACTCCAGGAGGCGGGCAGGGTGTTGCGGCCCCTTCTGCGGCGTGCCCTGGCGCCCCCTGGCGGATGGGTTTTCCCTCTCTCGCTCTCTCTTCCTGTTTTCATTTTTTGTTTCTTTTTGTTTCTTGTGTATTGGGCTATCCCTGTTGACCGCCACCCCGGTCATGGGTGCTGCACCTCTCAGACCACTGACATGTCATGATGGTTGCGCGCCCATGGACAAGACGAGCTCTAGAAAGAAAAGTGAGGGTGTATCGGTCGGTCATGGCGCCCCAAAGTCTGACGTCCGTTTTAACATCGGCTTAGGATTCCGTTCCTGGACGAGTGGCCGCCAGGCCGGGCCTCCTTTCGCCGGCGGGCAAGGGCGTTAAAGCTCACGCCACGCCATCATGCGGAGAGCACTAAGGAGCGAGCACCTACCCAATACGTCCAAGGCAATAAAATACCAAACCCCAGCCCTCTCTGCCTGCCGGCCTGCCTGCTCGCTGGTGGCCGCGCTGCTGAGTGGGCGGGCTGCCTGCTGGCACCAGACTGAGCCGACGGGTCAGCCGGCTGCCTGCCCACTGTGCTGGACAGTAGTCTGGAACCCAGTTCCCTGCTCGGTCGGGCGCCAGGGAGAAGGTCAGGGCCCCGAGAGCGCACCGCAGCGATGGGTCCCAGGGGCTGTCCAACGGGGTTTGCCCCTACAGAGGGAGCCGCCGCCCAGCGCTGGGTGTAGCAGCCGCCGCACAGTTACCCCTCTGCTGTTTACGAAGTACGACGTGCGGCGAGAGCGTGACCGCGATTGAGGCAGTGTCGAAACCTGCACACACACACGCTCACGCACTTCCCCCCAGGAGGTGGTGCCCCTAGGAGGTGGTAGTGGACGGGGCACGCCGGGTTCCATGTCATCAGGAGAAGCCGATGAGGCTGCACCTGGGCTGCACCGACAGATGCACAGCTCTCCCCACATCCACATTTCAGTCCATGGGGCCGTTTTCTGCCAGCTTCCACCAGTCGGCTGCCCGTATCCCGCCCCAGGCCCACCACGCCCAGCCACTTTCCTATTCCTAAACCACAATGCCCAGGCGCCACCTAGCACCTACCTATTTTTTGCACCTCCCCTTTCCCTCGACTTATTTTTATTTTTTGCTACGTCTCATCCCATCTATGCCGCCTGTCCCGTCTCTCCCATCGCGTCTCGGCCGAGTCTGCTCTGTGTCCACATGAGATCGGCGGGCGCGGTCAATAGATCGCCCTACTGCTGCGCCAGCGCGCTTGAACTCCGGCTGACAGTGATCCCCATAAAATGGAATATTATGGCAAACATTCGCTCGCTCCAGCCCGCGCCCGCTCCCTCCCTGCAGGCAGGGGGAGAAGAAAAAGGGCCGTGCGACTATCATGCATCCATTCTTCAGATCCGTCCTTGATCCATGGTCGGAGCTAAGCTAAGGGTACCAGCCAGGCTGGGGTGGTGGGCACCTTACCTAGCGTAGTAGGTGGCAGATACCTCCCACCCGTGCGAGAAATGTATGGCGTACCATGTACCTGCACACACACCGATTCAATTGACGGGTCGACACCCATCGGCTCGCCGGCCGACGGCGGAAAGGTCGGATCTGGAGGCTCGAAATCACCTTGTCTTGGGCCCCTGTTCCTTGGGCGTCTCTTGCTTATTACACGTACCTATGCATGGGGTTGTGAGGGGAAGTCTGGGAAGCCTGGATGTGGTCGTATGTGCACACGCATACGCACACCGACAGCCGCTGTCGTTCATGTCAAGAAGCCCAAGCATGAAGCTCCCAGCCGATGAACTATGTCATTCCCTTCACTTTCCTTCCCCTTATCCCATCATTTGCTTTTGATCTTTTTGCCTTTCGCAGTTGCGACATTCTCGCGCGCAGCCGGCAGCGCCTTGGAGGTAGGTAGACACCCCTTCGCCTCGACCGCACCCCTTGCCCCCCTTTTCGACAGTCCCACATCGCAAGAGGTCTCGCTTGCTGTGCCCGCGGGCGCTGGTTGCTGAGGAAAGTAGCCTGTTGGTTGCCTGCTGCGTGCCCGCTGTGGATACGCGGGTGACCTGGCTCTTTGTCTCCTTCCAGGATGGCTGTCTCCTTCCAGGGTGGCCGGGCCTAGAGTCAGGACGCCTTATCCAGGTGGGCCGGCAGGTGGGTGCGCCCAGTCCGAGGGAAGGACTGCACGCCACCTAGCTCACAGGGTCCCATTGACATTTGGCCCGCTGGGGACCCAAAAGGCACACCTGGCGACATGTGCCGCTAGACCGCTTCCGGTGCACGCTGCGTCGAGCAGGGGGACGGCTGCGAAGCCATGGAACCGTTTTTGCCCGTTGCTCAGGAGCTTGGGCGGACCGGCAAGGACGACGGAGCTGGAGCGGTTGCATCCAGCGCACTGACAGGAGGCGCAAGAAACCCGGCCGTCGGCAGGACTGTGTGACATCGAAACCCTCCCGATTTCACATCTCTGGTCGCATCCATCTGTCAACCAGCCGGAAGCATGTGCGAAATCGACTCGACCCAAGATGTTCGCAGAGGAACGGGAACCGTCGACTTGCCTTTTGTTGATAGGTCGTGTGGCAGGCTGGGTTCCGGGATTGGAATTTAGAGTGGTGAGTCGCCTATCGAGCCAACATCGACAATGCAATAAATAATAACCTAACACGAGTTAATATTTGGATTGGGGGTGGCAGTGGGGTGAGCGGTCCCGTCTGGGGAGCAGAGAAAAAAGAAAGAAAGGACAAAGGAAAAAAAAAAATAAACACAAAAAAAAAAGAAAGAAAGAAGAACGTAACGTACGACGACGACGACG